CCTCGAGCGTAGAAGGAGCAGCCTACCCCGGAGACGACGAGTTCTCGTCTAAGATCCGGAATAACTCGGTATTATGCTTAGACGTTTTAAAACCTTTTTACTTAAGGAAAGCTATCTGCTTACGCAGACGACGCTACTATAATATAGCCTCCTAATACTATTTTTGTTTATTTAATACCTATTAATATAGCTCCGCTAGACGGGACTACAATTCGTTTAACTTAGGTTCTAATAAGTCGAGTTTATCTTTATTCTTTTTAATATCGGAGGAAACCTTATCCTCTATACGGCGCAACAAATCCTACTCGCGACCGGTATAGAAGTCCCGTTTATATATACGACTAGCACAAGTATATAACGCACACTTCGAATACCTGCGACTCCGGTCTATTATATACTCTTTACTAGATTCCCGATAATAGTCGTAAGGAACAGAGGCGACGAAACCGTTGATAATAATATACTCGGCCTAACGAATGACTAGCAACTTAGTCTCGAGGGACGGGGAGTTTCGGGGTACCTTTAAGGACTAAGTCAGCCTTACGTTTAGGCATGATGAGAGGATATACTAGGGAAATAGAGAAACAGGAAGATACTATATATACCTAAGGGGAACTAACGTTTAAAAAGAAATCCTTTAGGGACAAAGGACAGGGGAGAGGGAGATAATGTTACGAACCTCAAGAAGGCGCGGGGGCCGTAACTAATTAAGGAGTAACCGAGAACTAATCAACCCCCGGGCGCTATACATTAGCGCTATCACGTACGACACCTATCGCTTAGACACGTCACTAAGAGCCCTAAGTAGAACATTCAGGAAGGCGGCTAGAAATAGCCTTCCCCTAACCGTGCTAAACTATACCCGCCTATACGATTAGACGGTTAGCCAGACGCAGGAAACGGCCACCGATCTACCGTACCCAAGACTACGCCACAACACAAGGTAACGGTAAACAAGCACGTGACCCTAGTAGTAGAAGGATAGATAGGTATACAGGTAGATCACGCCAAGAGTCATCTACCACTATACTACCTACCATCTATACCATCACGAAGGACTAGATATATAAGTACACTCATTTAGCATTATATATTTAGTTCTTCGCGATCATTTACACATTGTTACTTGGTTACTACCATTAGTACTTTGCACTTCACAGTTTACTTTAAGACAAACCCAACCTACAAGTAGGAGAGCTCACTTAGTATCACTACCCAGTGACTGACTTACTTAGCGCGCACTTCTGGCACGTTCTGCAAGATACTCAACAGGATCCGATCCCGTGTAAGGCTTAGCATAGCAACGGTACGATTGCGAGATACTCTTGGAATCCGCAGTAGAACTAGGCAAGTATAACCCTCGACAGCTCTACTCACAGTGACCAGTCGGCACCGCGTAACACTACCCGACCAAATGCTTCTAAGAAGTTATTTCCAAAGGCCCTTCATGCGCTAAAGGATTCAAAAAAACAACAGCAGTGGAATTCTCTATATACAGCTCCTGCAGGCATTGATTCTAATATTGATTCTGTGCTCTGTATCGCGTGGCAAGATAATAATATCGTTACTGCTTTATCAACTGTGCATACTGTGCATAAGCCGACTGATTGGATTCCTCGCTTGCGCAAACGACCTGCTAAGACCTCGACTAGTGCAAAGAGTGCCCGTGAGCCATTTGGTGATCAGCCTACAAAAGAACTTTCTATTCCTCGGCTTATTGATGACTATAACTATCACATGGGAGGAGTAGATCGTGCGAATCAACTACGAGCGAGCTATGAGACTCATCAAAAATGTCTCCGCTCCTGGTGGCCTATATTCTTCTGGACACTTGATATCGCTATTATCAATGCTTATTCAATCGCAAAGATAGCTCGCAGGCAGCGAGGTATAAAGAAGATCACTCATCTTGAATTTCGAAAAGCTCTCTACAGAGAGCTATTCAAACAAGGATCAGAGGAATCACTTCAAAGAAAGCGAAGATATAGCTCAGTTCAACCAAAATAGATTTAGACGAAGGTGATCATCAGGTTGATAGGACTAGCTCTCGCAAATGGTGCTATTTCTGTGTCCAACAGGCTCAAAGAGCAAAGACTCGAGGTCTTATTGCTCCAAAGCAATTTCTCACAGCTTACTGCTGCAAGGCGTGCAAAGTTCCCTTATGCAGACCTGACATTAGGCCATGTTGGGCTGATTTTCATACACCACGACTCCCTTTAGGTGAGAAAGATGTAAATTGCTCATAGATAGATCAAATTTCATATTACATGCAGGTGCGTAGTGTTAGATAATGTTCCCGTGTCATTTGCGGCAGAAAAAGGACGCTAACGAGTTAGCGTCTTGCCAGCCAAGGGGATAACTTCCCCCTTTCCTGATGTATCAGAACGTAGGTCAATGCACCCAAGATTGAGATCGCTGAAACCACCGAAGTGAGGGAAAAGGGAATTGTCGGAGCAGCAGGATTGGTGGATACCCAGAAAAAGGAGATACTAGAATATCATAACAGTATCGAATAACGGCTAGACTACGGATAAGATTGGCCTACGCTAGCTAGAAAAGCACTTTATCCCATAAACTAATTCGCGCGTACGCGGTCGGTTTCGGCTACTGAATCTTGACGTCTATAGTAGCCACCTTACACCACTATTCGACGAGTCTGCGAAGATAACAAAATAATACCGCTTTATATGCCTACGCACTTATTATATATACTATAACCGCTAGATATTAGCTGCTTTGCTTTATTAAAGAAGGCGTACGGCCGTTTCGTTAGCGATCTTGCGCGCTAAGGTTATAACTACATTAATAAATTGGATTTCTTGGAGGACTACTAACGCGCGCGGCTAGAGGTCTTCTAGCAGCTAGCTACTATTCGAAATAGCTTCGTAGCTAGTGGCCTAGTACCAGTCGATAGTTATATTAAGAGTGCTTAACAAGCTTAATATTGTTGCGAACCTCAAAAAGGCGCGGGGGCCGCAATTAATTGAGGAGCAACCGAAGGCCAATCAACCCCCGGGCGCTATGCATTAGCGCCATCACGTGCGACACCCATCGCTCAAGCACGTCACCAAGAGCCCTGAGTGGAACATTCAAGGAAGGCGGCTGGAAATGACCTTCCCCCAACCGTGCCAAATTATACTCGATTATATGATTGGACGGTTAGCCAGACGCAGGAAACGGCTACCATTTGACCACACCCAAGACTACGCCACAACACTAGGTAACGGTAAACCGGCACGTGACCCCTAGTGGTAGAAGGGTAGATGGGTATACGGGTAGATCACGCTAAGTGCCATCTACCAACTATACCATCTACCACCTATACCATCACGAAGGACTGGACATATAAGGATACTCATTTAGCATCATATATTTAGTTCTTCGCGATCAATCTCATTATTGTTACTTGGTTACTACCTTTAGTACTTTGCACTTCATAGTTCACTTTTAAGACAACACAACCTACGAGTAGGGGAGCTCACTGTAACGGGCTGTTGCCCGAGAGTGGCCATGTGACCATGGCCTTCTATATTGCTTTTGCCTGCCTCCTTATCGAACCCACACTAGCTTCCGTATGCGGTAGCATATTGTCGTAGCCATGCACGAACGCCCCCTTTTCCTTCCTTTCCCCAAGATTGTTGTGAACAGTTCGTGGCCTAGTTAGATTGAATCAAATCGGCTTCAGCCCTTCACACTCACTCGGTAGCAATACTTAGTGACTGACTTACTTGGCGCGCACTTCTGGCACATCCTGCAAGATACTTAATAGGACCCGAGCCCGTGTCAGGCTTAGTACAGCAACGGTACGGTTGCAAGATACTCTTGGAGTCCGCAGTGGAACTAGGCAAGTATAACCCTATACAGTTCTACTCACAGTGACTAGTCGGCTTCGCGTAACACTATACCTATATAGTATCGGCTATCGATAGTCGATGTTAGGTACCTTTTAAATAGCTAGTGACCTAGTTTAGGTGTATACTATACTTATATCTATTATAAATAATAATAGGATACTCCTCTAGCTAGGTAAACAATTTATCCTCTATCGTGACTTCGATCGGATAGCTCTTAAAATGTATATTGGAATATATATACTCAACCTAACTATACGACTGTTAGGTGTAAACCAGCGAACTGCCTGATGTTAATATTAGGATGGCTGTTAATGAATATAAATAAGTCTCTGTGCCCCTGAATTACCCCTGAAGCGTCGAGGACAAGCTGATTAGGTCGAAATGTGATCGCTCGAAATTCACTTAGGGTTAACTTGAACTCGGGCGGATAGTTAGATTTGGGCGGGCGGATTATCAGGCCCCATAAAAAAAACGCCTAAATTTAGTAACTAATATCTTACTAACTACGGGGAGTCTGGATAAAAGTTAAGTGGTATAAAGAACTATATCCACATTTTAACTAGTCTGAATTTTGGCCTTTTATATCGCTAGAATCAAATTCAGGTCTGGTCGCAAAAAGTATTTAGGTCTACTCTGGACCCACTTTTTTTCCCCATACAAATAAGCCTAACCCTAATCCATATCTACTAGACATAAATACCCCCCACTTGATAGGGTAGAGGATTAAGGCAATAAGAGATATCGGAAAATGCATCTAGCAATATAATATTGGCATAACATCACGTATTATTAGGCTACTATTAACCCTAAATACGCAAGTATAGAGATCTGCACTTTTGTGACTCGACATCACCAACCGTGCAGGTCAGCTCCGTAACTATCTTGTATGGGGCCTGCACAAAATTTTTGTTCTTATCCCGCCACTCCGAATTGCAACACTCGAGTCGCGTATGTTCTCATGTAGTGTCAGGTTTATTTCAACCACCTCGAGACCCTGCCATTCATTCTTTTTTTCTTTCTCTTCTTCCAAATCATCATCAATATCAATTTCATTGCACCCTTCTCCTTTTGATTCCGTTGCTCTGATTGGCCAATTCAATCCCTGTATTTCGTAGCTGATACGGACTAAGGTCTGTTAGCTTCAATCTACTTTCCGAAACGCATTATCCTCCAACGCATGATAAAGTTGGCAACAGGGAAGAATGCCAGCGACACAGCAATCCAAACGAAGAGAATAGCGAAGTCAAGGCCGATGCGTGAGTGAGTGTCGAAGAGAATTGTACGAGAGGCTTCTACAACTGTTTCAATCACTAGTTCGTTTCTTTTTCTTCTCATATAGTGATAAGAGTTCTGATAAGTTAAAGGGATGGGTAGATAGGTTGCTTACTTCTGTAGAGAGGCTATGCATATCCCTACCGGAAGAAACTTGGGGCAAGATTCAAAGCATAAAACCCGGTCCCCACATTAGTAATAACCTAGAAAATAAGAAAAAAGGAGCTCCATGGGAATCTAAGCACCATTGCTATATTTTCATATAGAAATCCAAGGGCAGATATGCCAACCCAATTAAGCATCCAATATACAACGAAGGAGCGGGCTCCATATTTGTTGGCGTTAGTGGCCGGGACAGTCCCAGGAGCTGAAGGGTTTGATAGGGGGACATAGTATGCTAAAGACACAAACGAGTAGAAAAGTGATAGGAAAAAATATGCCACAATATTGGACACAATACGCCATATAATCTAGTAGGGAATTTTCAAGGGGATCTGGCTGCCTGCTACCAACTAGGAGTGGATAGGCATAAGGAAAGGGAAAGTGAAGAACGCAATAATAATCAGATAAATCAGTCCTATCGTAATTGCAGGGGTAGCAACTGCGGGCCTAAATGGCCTTAGATCCAAGCTTGTGAATCCAATACCTGGATTCACAGCCTGAGGAACTGTGGCAAGTTGAGTGAAATTCTCGTTAGCGACCACTTTGACCCAGGCCGAACCGAATTTAGAAAGGACCGCACTTTCGAACTGGTAAATCGCAGGCGTAATATAACTTGAAAAGGATACCTGATCACGAGTAGACAGAGTAACGACCGAGACCGCACCTTTAGGGTTATACGAGGTATTCCCCTTCGAAAGCGCTGCATACAAAAGTGCCGTAGCATTAGAGTTGATAATGATAGCTACATACGCACGCTCGTCGTAAACCGCTTAGCGCACCGCTATAGGATCGTTCTCAAAGTCTGCAGATGACTTGATCTTATATCACAAATGAGTACGACTAGATCCAATGATATCTTCAGTTATATTGGTAACAAGAGGACCGACGAGTGGATTGGTTGAACGATATAGTTCCACTTGACCGTCAAAATCGACAACCCACACCGGTAAGGCGGACATGTTCTTTTCAACGTTGAACTGTACTGCCCAGAAAAGAGATAAAACCACCAGGACAAAGACGCAGAGCGTTAATACTAGATATTTGAATTAAATTAACAATAATATTATCCTTAATACAGGTACAGTAATCACTTACCCGTTTGTGCCTATTGCCGAGTCACTCGTAGACGAGTTGCATTGAGAGATCGATGGAAGAATGAAACAGGCGCTGGCATCTCGTTCTTTTCGATTACCGTTTCTATACGGTCTTCATGGGTCGTATTCAATATATAATCAGAAGTGCCACGCTTTGTGAATCAAATCAGACCGTCAAGTTGCTGGGCTGTTGATAAAGGTCAGGTAGCCAGGTCAGGAAGAACGCAAACATGAATAGAAAAAGAGGAAAATGTCAAAAAAGAAACGCCCTAAGACCGACGAAAAGCTCCGATATATAATGATCCAATAGTTAATTAGGAATCATGGCACATCCGGGCACTCCGGTATGATTTACGAATTCTAGGGAAACGAATTCTGCAAAAAATATTCCGAAATCGGCAAAGAATCGGAACTACTATAAGAAACGAACAAAAGAGAACAAATAAAGTGATAGGGTCAGGGCCGCCGCTATGAATGCATATTTACCTTACCATAGGCCTTCGGGGTAGAATCGGACTAAGAGAACACCGAAGAGCCGAGCAAGTAGCCATTGGTTTCATCTTCGCTAGAATCACTGAGGAAAAATGATACTCTTATCAGACACCAGTAGTTGCCACTGTGCGTATGCCTTAGATATCGAGATTTTCTTTCTAGATCTTGAAAAGGCGGACGAAATCAAGTACTCCTATAGCTGCGAGAAGAACAAGTCTATGCTGGTATGTATATCTCTTAACCCTTGAGCACTAGTTAGCTCAAAATATAGGACGGGCTACGGAGTAAAACTAGGTAAGTGAAAAACTAAAATAGGAGATTTTGAAGCTATGTACCTATGGATAGGTTTATTCCGCCCTGTCCATTCTTCCGCCGGTTTTGCATGGTAATACGGGCCTGTTCGGAAGTATATCGTTATCACACTCTATAGCGTCTCTCAACAAATACTCATAATCTTCAGTCAGCACACGATTCAATTGGATAGCCTTTGAGAAGATCATGAACAGCGAAAGTTAAACCACGAATGATCAGTAAAAAGGGCCGGGAATATTGCCCGGGTCACCCAAATCGGCGCTCGGCACTTTAACCTCCGCGTTCGGGCTCTCGGCTTCCCCGAGGACTGCGCCCCGAAGCCCGCTGGATCCGCCGCAACGTTTGTATGATAGGAGCCATATTTAGCCTAAGGTATTATGCCAACTTTTTTTTCTACGGGTACCTTTTACGCCTTCTTTGTTCCATCCTTGAAACTCTAATATACTGCCTTTCTGGGCTTTGCTTTTTACGGTCCTTAGGACAATACTGTTTTCTATCAAGACTAACCCCTTTCTTCCATTAAAGCCTTATCTGACTTCTATTAAACATCCGCCTTCATGAAAACGAGGCTGATTCAGGAATGTAATATCCTTAGATACAACATATTCTAGTTAACGTAGTTCCCAGCCGACCGGGCCACTTACCCTATTACAAATTTACAAGATAGGATATCTTAACCAAAACGAATGTATTGTGGAGATGCGATGGTCTGACGATCGCGCTGAGTCTCTTCGCGGGAGACCACCGAAGACAGACATTGTTGTTACTCTAAATAAGGTATGTAATTAATATACTATCTTTACCTTATTGCTTTTCTTATAATGATTTACTAGGTCCGAAGCCTTGCTATTTATATTAATGCTAGCCCTCAACGACGAGAAACCTTCTACAACCTTCAGATCGGGGATGAAAAGCTTGCTCCTATCCAGGATGTGAAGACTCGGTGGAATTCGATATTCTTGATGCTACGGCGTGCAAAACGGCTACAGTCGACTTTTGATGAGTTCTGCGCGCAATACGATCAATCCTATTTTGCGGTCAGCCGAGAAGAATAGCGCCAGATTGAGTACCTTCTCTGTATCACTGAACCGTTCTTTAAATTCACTTCTCTGTCAAAGACAAGAGATGTTACTATTTACCGGGTCTTTTATATCTACAACAGGCTCTATGATCATCTTGACAAGTAGATTCGCTAGCTTCAACGAAAGAAGGTCCCCTAGAAAAAGGTTATGCTTACTGCTCTTCATGCGGCAAAGAGAAAGCTTTCGCATTACTACGGTATGACTGACGATATTGATGGTGATCTCTATGCGATTAGCACAATCATTGCGCCACAGCACAAGCTTCAGTTCTTCTCTAGTAAAGACTGGGATGAACCAGACTAGGATTGGCGCAGGCGATCTCGTAGGAGTCTTGAAGATCGCCTAGAGCTATATAAACAGCGACCTACGGATCCGCCTCTATCAAAGGCTCTATCATCCGTGTATACTCAGGATGAGCTTGCCCTAATATGCGGTATAGAGGAGACTCAAGAAGCATTAGCCCCTGAACAGGATAAGCTTACGCAATATCTTGAGAGCGGTGAGTACTACTATTTTCTAGTTCTTATACATCGAACTAATCTTGCTTATAGGTACTATACGAACTCCTCCTCGTATCTTCTAGAGAGACCATCAACATCAATTCCCAGCACTTGCACGTCTTGCACGGGATATTCTCTCAATTCCCGCAACTGGTGCGGGAGTTGAACGACTCTTTTACACTGCTCGGGATATCTGTCATTATCGTCGAGGTTCGCTCAAGCCTGAAACAATCAGGGATCTCATGATGTTCGTGTGTACATCAAAGTTTGATATCGAGGACGATCAACGTATGTTGATTAATGAGTATCTCTCCCATCAAGAGAAACAGGCAGCGAAAGAGGAAAAGGACATAAAGGAGAATAATTTTGATCCAATCAGTGACGACGAAGAGGATCCGGCATCAATTCTATCGCAGCCTCCTGTTCAGCTTCTAAGTGAGAAAGCGCTCGGTAAACGGCGAAGGAGTGATACATCTGAGCCGGACGAGGATGAGAACAACGATGATGATGCTGAAGTTCCCTTACCTGATACACAACACCGGGTATCAGGGAGGGTCCGAAAGCGCTCAAAGCGTCTTGATGGATACGAGCTGGGTCCGGTGTAGTAAAGTAGGTCTAGTAGATTAATAAAAGAACTTTTTGAAGTCGATTTCTGTCTGCCCTACATAAGTCTATTAGCGTAGAGCTGTAATATAAATACTCAAAATACAGCTAAATACTGCACAATTTATGCGCCCTAAGGCAAGTCGTAAGTTTACTATGTTTGCCCTGTTTGACGACCCGTGGGTGACCCTGAGGGTCACCCATTGAGGGTCGTACCTAGGGGGAACCCGCCCTGAGGGTCGCACTTCTCGGACCCTGACCCTGAAACCTGAGGGTCAGGGCCAGGGTCGTGAGGGTCCCCCGCGGGTCGTTCCGAGGCCTATATAGGTGCTATCTGCCTACTAGGCTCTGCAAGGGCCCTCTACTAACCGATAAAGGAAGATCGTGCTTCTTCCCCCGGCTACTACTATGCTTTTGGACGGCCTGCCATCTAGCATTTATACCTGATCCTAGCCTAGGTAATCCTTACTTTAGTGAGGATTAGGTGCCGGAGGTATAGCAACCTGATACCTTCCAGGAGCCCCTTTGGCAATTAGATACTGAGATGGTAAGGGCAGCTTGGGTCTTCTACTGCTTTGCTAGAAGGTACGGGAACTCCATGGATATAACGAGTAGACAGATTTAGATAGGAGTAGGCTAGTAGTTTAATTCAACCCTTAGGCGATCTTGGCCGATAGGCTATTAGCCTACACTAATCTTCCTATGGTAGATAGTAGCGTGCCTAGTAGATAGTAGCGTGCCTAGTAGATAGCTATCTTAGCTAGTAGGGATATATAGTAGTGAGAATTAGGATTTAAATCGCTAAGTCAACCTATACTATATCCAAGTCAAAAAAAAATTGATCGCTTAATATCTTAGCGATTACTAGGCTAATCCTAACGATAGTAGTATCAATCTAAATTGTCAAGACTACCTCTATCTCGCTAGACCAAAATTGATGTTAGCATATACATATGCGTGTGGATCCATTTGGTACGCATTGACCATAAGGATGCAATCTGATCTACACAATAGATCTGTACACCAAGATCCTTTGCTTTTTATATTGATCCTCAACGATCGCATTGATTATCCTTTTTCAGAAGGAAAAGCAAAGAGAAGCCCAACATTTCTACTTTCTTTCTTGTTGATTGAATTTCCCCATCAAGTTATAAGACCCTTATGTTTTACTAGTGAAAAAGAACAAGTTTGAATTCTCTTCTGATCCGAGACTGAATATCGTACGCACCTAGTCAAATTGCTCAACTCTGATATTGGCGGTCGCATACGAATTGCTTCCTTCTCATCTCTCTATATTCACTCTTCACCTATCATATTGTGACATATTGATTTGTGTGCACAATATCCTTCGGTCCACTATCTTTATGCAGACCGCATAATATTCCGATAGTAGGTATTACCCTGACGGTTAGCCGTAGGCCGATTCTAGCTCTATTTCCGAAATACTTTCCTTAGGGCTTCTGGGGCATACCTAAGTATGCCGAAACGCACGTGATAGCGCTAGTTCCTAGCGTCCGCGGAATAATTGGTTCACGGTTGCTACTCAAGTAGCTGCGGCCCTATCGTTCCTTGAGGTCCGTAATAGCAGGTTGCAAGAGAGTGGTTTAATTTATACCAGGAGACGATTACCTAATACGGAAGTACTGCGGACGATATTTGGAACTTCGATTAGACCGGTTTCAATATCGGCGTGGCTAAAGACTAGTGGATTATTACCCGCGAACTAAAGCTCTAAATCTCTGGCGGACTTAGTACTAATCGCGAGTATACAATAACAATTGAAGCGGTCTTAGCCACTGGTTCTACTATCGTACCGGTAGTAATCCTAAGCGCTAAGGTTCTTTTATAGCGGTGGTTTGAGATAGTGGAGGATTGCCGTGACAGAAACTGGCTATCTTAATAACGTCCTTGCCCTACAGTGGATATAGCTATTCAATAAGCTGTCAAAGCGAGCTGAATTGGTATAGACTAGTATGTATAGGGACGAATGGGAATTACCGGAATCATCGGATGAAAGATTGATTGATTGAAGAAAGAATGAACGTTATAGGGCGGGTTGAAATACCTCAGAGATAGCTCGGATACACGGGTTGACGACAACCGTAATGCCAAGGATACAAATTACTATACATGACGCAAAGGAAAGTAGGTCACTTAGTATAATCCCTGTCTATGCGGTAAATTACCGCTTCTATGTCTCAATATACTGTTTGTTAGATAATCGGCGGTCGGGTGTCCGGTTACCCGTGGTGGAGCCAATCGGTTCGCGCTATACACCCTGCCTTTAGTAGGCAAAGATATATATATTTATCCTTCACAGTCGAAGTATAGCAGATTTATGGTTATTCAGAAACTACAAAGAGAAAGCATGAATTCTTCTAAGTTCCTGCAATCCAAACGAGTCGGCGTTATCGTTAGCAGCCAGCGAAAACCGCGCGCAGGTCTCCAAGTTGCCGAATTCATCCTCCACGTCCTCCAAGATCAAGGACCCTTAGCCTCATTCTACCTCATCGACCTAGCCGAGTGGAACCTCCCGATCTTTAACGAACCTGAGGTGCCATCACGCATTAGCTCACCTGACTAATATGCGCATGAAGTCACCCGTAAGTGGTCCGCCGAGATTTCTCTGTGCGATGCACTTATCTTTGTCACCCCCTAGTACAACGGAGGTTATCCTGCTAGTCTCAAAAATGCCATCGATTACCTGTACCATGAATGGAACGGCAAGCCGGCTATGATCGTTAGTTATAGTGGACGTGGGGGAACCATAGCTGCAGATGCACTTAAACAGGTTTTTAGGGTGATAAAAGTGCGGGAGATGGATGAGAGCATTGCTCTCAGATTTCCTCAGGATTCAATTGCAAAGGCGATGGCAGGGTGTGATCTGGAGGTAATAAGAGGGGGAATTTGGTCTGAGCACAGAGAGCAGATTCGCAATATGGGTAAAAAGTTGGTGGACATAATATATGCTTGATGGATATCACTCTATCTGTGGATTGCTCCGTCTTTCCTGTTTCCGTTTAGCCTTGCAGATTTCCTCCTTTTGTTTCTTTCCGCTAGATGCGAGGCAGATTTTCGTTCTTGATTGGCAGATCTATATAGATCTGCCTCTTTTCTGTCCTGCTCGCTCTTCTCTAGATAGATCAAACTCGCTCTTTTCTGGCTTCTCATTTTTGCTTCCTGCACATAGAGGAGTGTGACGCCTTGAATGCTGGATAAAAAATTACTGGTAGACTGCTAGATGCCTTAATACCTCACTAAGAAATATATAAGTGTATAGCTAATTTCGAAATTGGCTTCTATCTTTCTCACAGAGAAATGCTAATTTTCCTAGGCTCCCACAAGGGAGGCGCTAGTATGCCGTAAAAATTTGTATATATGGCTCCCCTCCGTCCTTGACTGAGGTTATAGTACCAAACTTGCTCTAAGTTAACTGCTTTATCCTGTTTGCAATTCAATACTTTTCATTTTCGATACTAATGACCTAAATGTATCCTTCTATGCAAAAATCCCGAAGCCAATTTATCGCTATGTGCGGTAAATCTCCTTATGTGGCAATTGGGGTCAAGGAAGGCAATTAGACTAAGATATGAAGGTGAGTTTTAAAATTTGGATACCCCTTACTGCACTAGTTCCATAGCTAATGAGCCAAAGCTCTCTATGTTATAACCTCACTAGAAAATGGGCTACGAGGTATTCTATTGCTTCTGGAGGGATCACCTCCTCTATCTAGAGACTAGGCCAATCTTGGATCTCAGGAGTACGGAAAAAAGGTTGCGGCGATTGTGGCAGGAGGTTGATACAACGACAGAGACTTTGAACCACTCCGAAACGTATGCAAAGGGAAAGCAACATACCATGGCTGCGTTATGATATTACTAAGGATATTGATCGAAGGCAACCTAAACCGAAGGTTGGAATTGAAGATAGTGAGCAAATTGCGAAAAGAGATAGTGGATTGTCTGAAGGGACTAGAAGAAGATGGGAAGATGAACACTAATAGGGAATATAAATTTAAAATCATGTGCATGTATTTTCTCTTAATTCTTCTCCTGGTGGCTGTCGTTTAGCTATTAATAAAGGTGTTGTCTTTTTTAAATTTATTACAGCCCAGAGTGGAAACGGAAGGGGAGTGTTGAGACCCGGCTTAGCTCAGGCAAGGGAAGTACGTACATTCTCCCTTAATTCGGTATAGTCAAGAATGACTGAGGTCAGGATCCACATATGGCCCGCATACGTCGGGCTTCGGTGTTGGGATGAAGAGTGAGAATAGCTAAATTTCTAACTCTCGCGTGAAGTGAAAGCCTGAGCTGCGGTGGAATTAGCTATCTCGGGGCGCGAAGCCTGATTAGTTTGATAAGTGCTAAAACGGCTAAACTCGTAATTCTTATGAATCTAGATAATACGATAATCCTCTTGGTGCTACAAACAAGGTGACCTTCGTAAGAAGATAAAGATAGTGTATGACTTTCCCGTTGTTTTGGCGAAGCGTCTTAGTACCTGAAAAGGATAGCGTATCGACAACTAAGAAATAAAGAAGCGTAAAACAAAATAAAAGTGCTACATTTACTAACTTTAGCCGAGCTATTTTATAATGTTTCTGAGTAATGTCGAAGGTGAATTTTATGAGTAAAGGAAGTCCTTGGCTGGGTATGCAAGAACCTTATAATTCCACAATCTAGGATTAAGGGTTAGTACAGTAATATATTACTAGACTTCCAGGGATTTTATCTTACCCAGTTCGGATCAATCTTGGAATCAGGGATATCCTTGCTGTAAGTCTTTGTTTTCTCGGTATTAATGATCTCAACTATAATAGCGTGGGAAACATGAACCCCCTTGGGACCGAATCCATGCGCAAGAGAATAGGATATCGTACGGATTCCGAACTTGCTCATCGTAAACCCAGAATGTCCGGACCCTCCTTTAAGCGCAGCCGTTACACCTAAGATAAAAGATGAGAAAGATGAAAAGGGTAAACTTCGAGTATTACGTATTATTGCTCTTTTTCTTGGCCTTCGTTTACCATGAAAGGCAGCGTAGCCTGAGCAAAATTGAATGCACCATTCTCGAGAAACTCTTCTAGACTTTACTCCAAGAAAGGCTTTCTCGCAAATTTGCTTGCGACGTTGTAAATCGCAGCTACAACTCTTATATCGGAGCCAAAGTTCTTCTTAATTTGATCCATAGAAACAACTAAAACAAGTTATCGAGCCCTATCCTCTCTCCGAGAAGCTCTCTAACGGCAATCGTCGTAGGTCTTGAATTTTGTGGAGGGTCATAGTCTAGCTTAACTAGCGCAGAGGGTTCCCCGCATTAAGTCGGATTGCATAATAGGAGATATGATTTAGAGTCAGTAGAATACTACCCTAAATCGCCTAGAGAATATGCCTCCTTTTATAGAGTCGACCGTTAATAACGAGCATCAATTGCTAATACACCCTAGCAGGCCCGGCTTCACCGAAGACCAGTTGCCTTTATTACTGGACCTTTTTGGTGGAACTATGATGGTCAATTCTCTGAATCAGGCTAAAATTTGCCTAGATCTAATAAGCCGTGTCTTTGATAGCGTATTTGGTGGCACTGCGTTTGAATCGGAGCTTTCAACATAGCTAGGCGATTCTGACTAAAGGGTTCAACTTGAACTCGCATGCCTTTGACTCGTCCGCGATTTTGTTACATTTCCAAACCTAGCAGCGCTTGAGCGTAGCCGACGTAGTCAATATGCATCGCAACTCAAGTATCTTCGCTTAAAAACCTACTACAACAACGGTCAAACAGTCCTCTAAGCCCATCAAAGATCCTTCTAGATCAGATTATTAAGGGCCATTATCTAGCCCTACACCATACTGCATTACTTGCCCGCAAGATAATGCGAATCTACCCTAGCCAACAAGAAGAAACGCCAGAAGCGAAATCGGTCAACTAGGCAGATACCTCACAAAAGTGGCTTATCGGTCGAAGAAGGCTTATAGCTAGTTGAACAGCTAAATCAGGTGATGGGGTAATATCGCATCGCAGGGCGAATTGCCTATTCAGGCAGACTAGCTGGCTACTAGGGATCCGCCTAGGTGTAGTGGGTGTACGGAGATTGGCTATAGGATCAATTCATGTAAAAATTGTTATATCTTGCTGAATACTGTTTCATTTTCTGGGTTTGCTTTCATCTGCCTAAGGAGATCCTTCAAGCTGAGCTGGATAATGTGGGCAAGGCAAGGGATTCGAATGATTGTGGAGTTAGAATTTAGCTCGAGCGACTGAATCGATTCCTAGATACTCGATATTAAAGTGCTGTTGTTCGATGCATTGTCGGCGGTCGCTGCAAGTACGCGGTCTGCAATCCTATGCTCTTGTAGAACTCTTAGAAGGACACTACTAAGATTAGCGCCGGTGTGTAATCCAGAAAGAGGTTCAAAGCCAAGCAGAATCTCCCGGTATTCCCAAGCTTCATCGGTGAAGTAGCCTGTGATTGCTATAAAGGCCTGTCGGAAAGGAGACGTCCAAGCATCTAACGTAAGGGATATTTTTGCATCGGGAGGAAGCTTTTGAAGAAGATTGTGTTGCTGCTCCTTCACAGAATCTCGAAGTCGAGTTCGAATCGTCTTTGATGATGGTATCTCTGGCCGAGAGGGGGCGCATCGCGCGTAGGAGATTATATCATGGAACTCGGGGTGCTTAATGAATTGGAAAGGAAGACGTGATATAGTCAGGAGCTTGAGAAGTTTATGTTCCTAGACCTCCTGGGTGAAGACTATAGATCTAGTAGGAGCAGTTTAGGCCTAGTGATTTAAAATAAGTTAGCCTTAAACTATTTATGGTGAATATAGATATACCGCATTCTCTATGAGCTGCTTAATATTTAGTCTCTTGGTAAGAGAGTTGACCCCTCTAATATACTTATTCATAGACGATGTCCTAGTGTGGCTATTTGTAGTATAGTCGAGAACCTTGCTGCACTGTTTACACATAACACCCGGTCTCCTAGTCTTCCTATTAGCGACCTGCTCGAAATTCTGCTAGCACTCGGCTTAGTGTCTCCTATCCTAATAGATCCTTTTCTTCTTTCCGAACTCAGTCTGCAGCCACCACTCAACGAATGCCTCTTTTGATATATCGGTGTAGAGAATATATCCCTTTGTTTTAGTCGGACTAACGCGCTGGAGTGTATCAGGGATAGGGGGTAGAGGTTGAGGTCGAACGAGCACAGAGTAGGATACCGAGGTAATGGTTTGTTGGCTTCCTAAAGACTCGGGCGTGAATAGCTGTGTATTATTAGGGAGATAGAGACATTGATCCTCCTTATAAATCGAGGAGTATAGATCAGAAAATTCTGATAGTTATGACATTCATTAGCTAGCGTAGGGTGAAAGTTAACGCTCGATAGCATAGTAGCTAAAGCTACAAATCTCAGCTAGGCGTCGTCTACTAGCAATCCACGTAAGACATTCCAGGCAGGGTGACTATCTCCCTAGGCGGGATATAAGAGGGCGGGACGGCGTGTGATATATCATCATCGCTGCTAGTGTCAATAGTAAATGCCCCCTGTAGATTGCTAGTGGTAGAGGAACCCTCAGACTAGGAACTAGAAGGGATAGACGGGGCTTAGGAAGCCATCTTCTTAGGAACTATACTAGAGATTCAGAGTTAGTAAGGCTCAAGGTAGTCGTGACTAACTAGCTTACTACGGTTTTTGTGGCTCGGTTTGACTGCATTAAAGAAGGAATTTGTAGGAGCATTTCGAGAGAAGGGCGGCGGGGTAAGGTTACCGCTTCGTTTTGTATAGGAACTAGAAATTGCCGGAGTCCTTCCCAAATAAAAATCTGAATAAGTCCTTCTCGTACACAGCTTTATCATATCCCAGTCTAATATATTCGTCTCCTCTTCATATCATACGGCACCGTCAGATTTCCTTGTGTACCAGAAACAATATAAAACACCTTAGACAGCTTGAAAGTTAACGCTATATAGAAGCTTATTATAAAGGTGAATCCGCCTTGGAGAATTTACGACTTCTCTTGGCTTAACGGCCCGGGGGGATTGTATCAGCCGAAGAACCGTCTTCCAGGCGAGTGGGTTGGTCAGCAGTTGTATCCTTACCGATAGGTTCGTCGCAGAGTTCAGATTCTATTGGAAGGGGAGCCTCACTAGAGAGACAGGTCTGGACATCGTCGTAATATAACAGAGTAGATCCGTTGTTTAACTACACCCCTCCACTTCGGACTATTCCTAGTAAGCTAACTGTAGGGAGAGCGGCCTCTGGGTAGTACATATTGTACGTATAAGGATCGGAATGATCGCCCGGGTGGCTAAAGGCAGGACGATTTAACACTGAAACCTACCGGAGAGGAGAGGATAGTTCGCGATATATATTAATACCAAGAGGTACACCAGGCCTAATACGACCTCAACGAGTTCAAAAGCTCATAGAAGAAGAAAGCGGGGTGGCGAAGCCGGATAAACACGAAAGGCAAGAGACATAGAAAGCAAAGTCGCTAGGTAGACGAATAGCACAAGCACTATATTGCAAGAAAAGAGGTATCAGAAGTGTATACAAGGATCACAAATACAGAGGAAAGCATCGTCTAGGATAAACGTAGGAGAGCAAGGAATGCTAAACCAAAACGGGAAGTAGTTGAAGGCCAATTGCAAAGGTAACAAGCAGGAGAAAGAGGCCAGTAAGGAAACACAGTCGGCAGCCAACGAGAGGCGAGAAATCGCTCTGGAATAGGCAAATCAGAGGCAACAAGAAGCCGCGTCTCTCACATGAAGCCATGGCCGAAATACCCCCTTTCACTCGTTCCTCGTTTCCAGGGCATAGTTTTTTTTGATAAGGGTATTCCCTGTGCACGAAGGTAAATCCTTCCTCTTATTTCGTTCGTTTCAGGGCATACTCAAAACATAAGTAAGCTGTATAGTTATGTACTGCTATATATTCAAAAATAACCACCCCTACTATAGTGTCGTCCGTACACACTCCCCCCAACCTAGCACCAGCGAACCCCTAAACCACTACAAAAATGGCAAGAAATATTAACCCATGACTGCGTAAGATGACTGTCCATATGATACGCAGCAAGAACAGTCTCACTATATCACAAATGGCAAAGTTGGCGAAGTGTAGTGAGCGTTCTATTACTAACACACGCAAGAAGATGCGCTTGTTCGGTAGTGCCGAGTCTCCCCCAGTCTCAATCGGTCGACAGCCGAGCATCGCTCCTATCATACTAGACGCCCTCTGTGATCACCTCGCTGAAAAGCCCGGCCTATATATCGAAGAGATGGCTATCTTCCTAGGGGATGATTTCAAATTGTTACCATCGCTGTCTAGTATTAAACGTGCTCTTTTCCGGGCTAGCTGGACAAAACAGAAAGCCCAGCAGAAAGCCAAAGAACAGAATCCTCAACTACGACATTTCTACCAGCATAAGCTATCTGAGTTTCGGTCGTATCATCTTGTATTTGTCGACGAATGGATGTGATAAAATAGTGGGACATAGGTGTACTGGTTGGTCACCGCTCGGGGTGACACCAGGTCCAGGTATCTAAAATTTCATCTCGGCCAACGCTACTAGATACTGCCAGCATCTTCTCAAGACGGTATTATTCTGTCTCGTATTTTCAAAGGTGCATATACCGCATGCCAACATTCTCAATTTCCAGTCACATGATCTCCAAAATTGGTGTTGTGGCTCCTTTTTCGTCCAGTGTCATAACTCGGCTGCTGGCATTCAGGTTGCCTAGTGGGCGTATAGTCCTCTCATTAGTTTCCTCTTCTCCTCAACAATATGAGGTGGATAGAGAGCTCCCAAAGGAGTTGCACTGACCTCCTGATTGCTTTCATCTCATTCGGCTACGTCCTGAATCATCCTTATATTACCAGTGGTCGTTATAGAATCAGTCTTGGGACCGGAATTGACGTCCTCCATGTAAACCATCACGTGGTCCTGGTCCCCAAACAGACGCGCTACCTCCTCAAGTGGAAGACCTTCGCCAAGTTAATAGTAAGGTCTCTATCCCTTTATCTCTTGGTATTTTATATCAACCACTTACCATTTGTCTCGGGGAAGCGTACCGCAACATATATTAACCCAATCACTGGGATAATGATGAAGACCTGTAGTGAATTAGAGGGATGTAAATTAGTTTAACTATCTTACATCATAATCATCGAAGGTAGCGAACAAGTTTGGACGAATCTCACCAGGAAGTATTTCCAACCAATATTGGCGAATGCCGTGCTAGCGGCCTGCATGTATATAAGATCTGCAAGGGCACCGAAGCAGATTGCAGTAGAAACCCCTTTAGCGCGTAGATGATTGGGGAATACTTCGCTATAATAGACGAATGCTGCAGTGTCAACAGTCGGTGCGTAAAAGGCAATATAGAAGTATCTGAATGATAAGAAACGGAGTTAGTGAACGTCATTATCGGGTATGAGGACCCAAGGTTGACTCACAATGCCGAAACTGCCATCGCAATACCCGCCGTATTAGGATGAGCAAGGATGGGAGAAGCAAACGCAGCAACCATGCTAGTTTCGATGATCATCCAAAATGTCACGGTTGACAAACCGATGAGCATCAGTCTCTTCCGTCCCAATAGATCCACTAACACATCGCCTGCCGGTGAGCGTTCAATATAGGATTAGCGAAAAAGTCCTGAATTATCAACCAAATGGATATGCTACCTAGTATGTTGAACACTACTCCCACAGTAATGTATCCACATTGGAATACAATCTGCTCCCGAGGCCCATAGCCAAGAGTGCTATATAGAACGGAACCGTATGCAGAGATCACTAAGAGGCCGGTGCTTTGGCTGATGAAAGCGTAGAGACAGCATATCTCGAATCGTTTGCGGTAGGAGGGTTTTGTTAAACATGTCCGCCAGGAATTATCCAGGGTACGGTCATATTCCGCCTGTGCGATCATTTGATATAACTCGGCGGATGCAAATTGCTGGGAGTCTGGATCATCCCCGTGTAAGCTCTGAACAATCTTTCTGGCCTCATCCATCCGATCATGCATCAGGCACCACCGCGGCGATTCTGGCAGCCAATAGAGGACCGAAAGAGTTATGGCGGGGAAGAGCATTTGGATCCCTAGTGGTCCTCGCCACTGGATGGAGGAGCCATTCCGGATCGAGTAGAAGGCGAGCCCCATGTATGATGCGAGCGCCTGTCCAAGCATGAGAAAGACACCGGTGAGTCCGACGAAAGTCCCGCGAAGCTTTGGAGGAGCAAGCTCAGCCGTATATACAGGTGCTGTGGTTCAACGGCGTCAAAAGGACTAAAACCAAATCGAGAAAATCCTTGCTTACCGATACTCAGGGAGGCCCACGCCCCTGCCCCCGCCAGGAAGCGGAATGCGATGAACATTGCCATATTCTGGGCGGCACAGCAACCGGCTGCACCTACCAGTCCTACAGCGCTCGCGTATGCCAGGCATGCTCTGCGTCCAAACCTGTCCATGATCCACATGCCAATTGGAATCCCAATGACAGCGCCGACCTATTGACGCTGTCAGTCCCAATATTTGCAAACATCATGCCCTGCCATCTTTGAAATACTTGCCTGATAGACGCCTGACGTTGCCCCAACCAAGCTGTCGGCATCTGAAGTGCCGTGTCCATCCTTGCCTAACAGGTTCATGTAATTGAGGAATGAGGGCTGCGATAATGTTGTTCCTAGAATTGCCGTTGGATACCCAAAAGATAATACTGCACTGGTGATGACAAAGCAGATGAGAAAGGCACGCCAAGTGAAGTGGCGCTGCTTCAACAATTGTGTCATTATAGTGAGAAAGGAATATTTGGGAGTTTCAAGCTCGCAAGTTTCGTCTAGAATAGAATAGGCAGTAGAGGCGCGGACAATTGAACACCCATAGAAGAGCCAAATTGCACTGTCGTTCAAACATCATCGGTATAACAATTTATAGATATGTCTGACCCAACAAACCTTAGCTGTCCCCCATGGGGCACCCCGCAATATCTCCCCCCCCCACCCCACAAATAAGAGGTCCCCACTTCTGTGACATCGCAAGTCCGGGGCCCCAGATTCTAGGGGCGATTGCCAGAGCTATGTGCTTGTTAAAATAATAACCTGCAGACTATCTCCCTATCCAGTGGTGGCTCGTGAGATACAATAATGCGCCCCACGTGGGTTTTTGAAGATATCTCCAGGCAGATCAATGCATACCTGAGCTTACCCTATATCTGAACTAGAAAAACTAGCCGTAGTATATGATCAAGGGGAAACATGCCCTTTCAAAAATTCAATATCATACTAATCAGCGTGAAAAAGTGGGATCTTGGGCGCGGGTTGCTTAGTCGCTTAATGTGGTGGGACCAAGAGATCTAACAAAAACATAATAAAACTCGTCCACTTCCCCACAAAGGATTCCACAGCGGAATATTGCCGGGGAAGTCTCTCAGTTTGTTGGCTTATTTCGAGCCAGGATGTAGTTACCCGGTTTCTGTTAGTCACCCCACTCCTCCCTTCGGGAGTTGGGTTTTCCACCCCAAAAGCCCATTTTACCCTATCTACAGGAATAAACCGTTCTCTCACTACCCCTCATAATAGAATTAATTAGAAAATCATGAGTTTCGATTTAATGCGTATTTCCTAAAGTACAGTGAAAATTTAGAGTTCTATAACCCTTGCTGTATCTGGTCATCACCGAGAATAGGACGATTCTTCGGGTCTTCCGAGTTGCAGGTTTCTCGTTCCTTGATCTCCCTCTCAAAAATAGAGCGTTTTGCATCGCTTCCTCGCCATACTCCATCATGGCTTAGCTGTCTTCTACATCGGTTGGTAGAAAGACTTGATAAAACCTCCTTCTTCCTAGATAATTCGGCCTCATTCTGTTGTAGTAGCTCGGTCTTCCGGATATGCTCGTCATCGAGGTTACGAAGACTCCCGATGAACCTTTCGTGACTCTCACCGACAGATAATTTATCTGCAGCATTAAGATGCCTTTGCGTTCTTCTCCGAGCTGTACGAATTATGGTCGGCGCAATTGAGGAGGAACTAATTTCAGTATCACTCGACTGAGGCATCTCGGGTTAAGCCTAGTCAGCCACTGATGAATTGTAGCTCAGGGATCGGCGGCGCGTTCTCGCGAAGAGGCCTACGGACAATCTCAGGATTAAATGGGCATATTCCACGATCGCGAAATGAGTGGATAATCATCTCAGGCTTTATAGCCTTCTTGCGAATCTCGGGGATAAACACTAGGAAATCGGCCTTGTCCGTAGCTGTACCCCCCCCCAATCGCATAAACCAAACCGCCCTGTCCAAGATACGGACCTTGACCAGAGACCTGAAAGTAACGTAATCCACGGCCGAACCGTACACACGGTCGAGCCGTACACCCCACCCAAAATCGCGTCTTCCTACTACCCTACCTAATTCAACTGCCTACCATGCCACCGATTCGCACTGAATCTTCGCAGAAATTAGCCAATCAAGAGGGCAGGATCCTTTTAGCCCTCAATGATATTAAAAATGGCCGCATCAAATCTATCCGCGGAGCAGCGAAGCTATACGAAATACCTCATACAACCCTAGCCGATCGCGCAAATGGGATAAAAGCACGCGTCGATAAGCGCCCAAACGGCTATAAATTGACCCAACTCGAAGAGGATTCGCTTACAGAATGGATACTCTCTATGGATTCGCGTAGGGCAGCGCCTAGGCCATATACTGTTCGAGAGATGGCCAATATCCTTCTTGCAGCGCGTGGAACAACCCCCCTATTGACCGTTGGCGTTAACTGGGTATCAACATTCGTTAAACGGTGCGATGAGCTTCGATCGCGCTATTCTAAGCGATATGATTATCAGCGCGCTCTTAATAAGGATCTAAAGGCTATAAAAGAGTGGTTTTTAACGGTGCAACTCGCGATTGATGAGAACGGTATCCAACCGGAGGATATCTATAACTTTGATGAGACTAGATTCGCAATAGGCCTTATATCAGCGTAGAAGGTGGTTACGCGAGTAGAATACTACGGTCGGCGATTAATCCTACAGCCAGGTAATCGCGAATAGGTCACTGCGATCGAAACGATATACGCTAACGGCTATTCGCTACCGCCCTGTATCATATTTAAAGGCTAGGTCTATATCGCTGGTTAGTTTAAATCGTCGAATCTCCCTAAGGATTAGCGGATCGAAGTATCGAATAATAGCTAGACTACCGATGAAATTAGCCTACGCTAGCTACAAAAGATCTTTATTCTATGCACTACTTCGCGCGTACGAGGGCGATTTCGTCTATTAATCCTCGACGGGCATAGTAGCTACCTTATACCTTAATTCGATCGAATCTACGCTAAAAACGATATTATACTACTCTATATACCTTCGTATTCTTTATATCTACTATAACCGCTTAATATTAGGTGCTTCGCAGTGCTAAAGCGTGCGTACGGTCGCTTCGTGAGCGATTTAGCCCGAACTAGCTATAATCATATCGACAAGCTTGATTTTCTAGCAGATTATCCTCGCGCACGGCTAGAAGCTTTCCAGCCGAATATCGTTCAAAGCAGCTTCGCAGCTACTGGTATCGTGCCAGTTAATGCTAATAGAGTGCTTTCTAAGCTTAATATCTCTCTCCGAACGCCTTCACTACTGTTAAGCCGACCAAGCAGCAGATCTAGCCAATTCACACCCAAAATGCCTAGAACAGTAGCCCAGCTACAAAAGCAGGCTAAAATGATGAAAGATCTAATAGATCGGCGGTCAAAAAGCCCTCCAAGCCCGTTGAAATTAGTGGTTGATCAGATTCTCAAGGGCCTCTATAAAGCATTATATCACACTGCGTTATTAGTGAAGGAGAACGCTGATCTTCGCGCAGCGAATGAAAAGAAACGTCAAAAGCGCACTCGGTCGACTAGGTAGATCGCATACGAAGGGGGTCTATCGATCGAAGAGGGCCTACAGCTAGCTCAGCAGCCAATTCAGCCAGTGGAAGCTAATGAGGTAGTATCGCATGAAGAGGTCGATCTGCCTAATCAGCCGATTCAACCGGCCAGGAGGGCTCCGCCTACCTGCAGTGGATGTGGACGAATTGGCCACAGGATTACTTCATGTAAAAATCGTATTATCTAGTTAAATTAATGGGTGTTGGTTGAGATAATCAATTTTGAAATTTTCTAATGGGGTCAGGTGTACGGCTCGACCGTGTGTACGGTTCGGCCGTGGATTACGTTACAACCATTTTGTTGCTTGGTAATACTCGGCCCTACCTGGCTCAAACTTAATCGTGCAATCTTGATCGTAGGTTTCAACAATGTATTCACTTAATTGGTAAAGTGTACATCCACGGGTTGTGAGGAAGTTATAGAGAGCCGGTTGCGGGATGCAGGTTAAACGTCAATGAGCCTTCTTGGTTTAATTAATACACTCAAACCCAATCACGGCCTAGCCAAATCCAGGAGCAAAATATGATCAGCCCTGTAAGTAAGTGAAGTAGTAGTCAGGATGGCGGGTCGGCCTCAAAATTAACGCCCAGCGGTCCGAACAGTGCACACGGCCGATGCCTCGGAGAATGCTTGATTGTCGACAGGCAATCAGCAGCTCATTCCAGAGACATGAATTACGTGTAGATGCCAATCTTCACCAGAGCCCGCCTTTTCGCGTCTGGAACTACAAAAATAGCCCTGGTATTCGGAGTCACCGAAAGAATAAAACGTCATGGAGCGTGCCCACATACCTGTGCCCAGGAGTGGACACACCATACGTTCGTGGGTACGCCTCGTTCCGGAACCGGGGGAGCCAACCCAGTCACGTCTCATACACAAAATCAATCAACTTTGGGAGCTGAGCGGGAGACGCCTCGCGTCTGGCACAGTCTTACTAAGAGGTCGGGTCTCGGACTTTGTTTTAATACCGGAGTCCCGAGAGCGGCCCTGTTCGGGCTGTTATCCGTACCTTGGCAGCGCACCCACACCTTTCCCAACACAGATACGGCCTCTCCTGCTCCACATGGACTAGCCAATCAAATGCATAATCGCGTGCTTCTTCCCACATTCACTTGCCTGTCCTATGATCTAGCTATCTGCGATTCAAAACTCAGCTATGGATCCAAGCGTTGCCTTGACTTTAGTTGGTAATTCTGAGCCGGCACACGCTCGATATCGGACGTGCAGAATCGAGGTCTATCCTAGTACAAGCTCTCTACGCCCCTGTTACGACGTATCGTGCAGTATCTTTGTTCCAGTTTTGTTGCCTTTTGAACTGTTCCTCCATGCTTCTAAACGTTCATTTAGAATTGGTCGTCAATAGATGTCACCGATCTCATGGTAGTAACTCACTTCGCACGAGTGTCTAAGCTGTAGGAAAGTCAGCTTTGAATGAATTGTGACCATATACTATTCTTACTCGTTGACTATGGTGTGCATAAGCACTTGAAACACGTAGGATGGTCTATTATGTAGATATTCGACACTAAATCGGGACTCCATAGCGTAGCTGTCTCCCTCAGTGCGACTGTGGTAAACCGAATCCGTGGCCGCACAGTCGTCACTATATTAGGGCTTGTCATTTTGTCTAAGCGGGCGATTGTCCGTATTGATAGTGTTTGGCGACCCTAAAATACTGTTCTTAGATAAAGATACCCTTAGACGGAGGTCTAGCGTTTAGTGCCAG